TGCTATGGTGACAATGACTGTGTGCTGATGTAGCAGGAAGCTTCGTAACTGGCTTGTCTCCATGGTGACAGTGACTGTACATGGACATAGCAGGGAGCATGGCAAGCGGGTGACATTGCCATGGCAACAGTGATTAGACACTGCTATAGCAGGGAGTGTGGTAAGCAGGTGATGCCCCCATGTGACTCCCCTGTCTCCTTTCGGAGTTAGGTGCTGGGACTTGGGGTCCTGAGGTCCTGTCTGCCCCAAGGGGGCTCCTGCCCTGGCAGGGCCTTTCCCTGCATATCCATGGGGGGGGGGATCAGGCTCCAGGCTCCATCCCCCACCCTCAGTGCTCTGTTCAGAGGGGCACCTACTGACCCCGTCCTTCTCATGCCCCAGGTGTGCGTCCCCATGGAGCATCAGGCCTGTGGGGAGAACAAGTACGTCAGTCACAACTGCTACCCGCTGCAGCAGAGCTTCTCGCAACTCCAGCGCATCCCGGACACCCAGCCAGGTGAGGGGTGACACTGTGGCATGTGTGGGGCCACTTACACCCTGTGGTCACGGGCCATGGGAAGGTGGCGGGGCCCAGGGTCTGGCAGGGGGTTGGATACCAGGCTAGATGAGCTCATTGGTTTGATTCAGCATGTCAGTAGGAGCTGTGAGTCAGGACTCCTGGCTTCTGACCCAGCTCTGGGAGTGGGGTGGGGTGTATTTTTTTCATCCCAGTGCTTGTCATGCTCTACTCTCAGGGACCCTCCATGGCAGGGACAGGATGATATTACAACAGAGGGGCCGAGGGTGGCCTGATTGGGGTGGCCGGCAGGGGGTGGGATATCAGGTTAGATGCGCCATAGGTCTGGTCTAGCTCTTTCTGATGGGTTTCCCATGTTTGTGGAGTTGAGTCAGGACGTACTTCATTCCTGTCCCTCTCAGAGTGCCCCAAACATGTCACAGACATAGCGCTCCTCATCGACGGCTCGGGCAGCATCGACCCTGTGGACTTTGAAAAGATGAAGATGTTTGTCTCTGAGATCATGAAGCGTTTCAGCAAAACCAACACGCAGGTAACAGGCAGAGGCTGAACCCTGACTACGTACCCTGCCCCCCGCAGTCAGTGCTGACCCCAATGCCCCAGTGCGGCACTAGGGGGCGCTGTGCCACTGGGAGCAGCAATGGATTTTGCATCCAAAACCAGGAAAAAATTCCTGCAGAACCAGCTACATCCTGACCGCCTGCCCCAGCCCTTAGCTGAGTCTGATTCCTGCTTTTCTGAACTTCCACCCCCGGGGTTGTTTTTCTCTCTTCTCCCCATCTCCTGCAGTTTGCCCTCATGCAGTACTCGCACAGATTTGAAGAGCACTTCGACTTCTCACAGTACAAGAGGAGCAGCAACCCTGATGACCTTGTCGGGGCAGTCGTGCAGCTCAAAGGAGCGACGTACACGGCCACCGCCATCCGGAAAGTGGTGTAGGTATTGCCCTCCTCCCTGTGCTGACTCCACAGGGAATGGGCTGTAAGGACATGTGAGCTAAGGGACAGGGACTCAGGACCCCTGGGTTCTATCCCCAGCTGTGGGAAGGGACTGGGGACTAGTGGTTAGAGCAGGGGGCTGGGCATCAGGACTCCTGGTCTCTGTGCCCGACTCTGGGAGGGGGATGAGCACTAGTAAGTTAGAGCGGGGAGGGAGATGCTGGGAGCAAGGACTCCAGGGGTCTATTGCCAGCTCTGAGCTTCTGAGCAAGTCACAGCCCCACAGCGTGCCTCAGTTTCCCCATTGGTAAACTCATTGACAGTGACCTCCTTTGTAAAGGACTTTGAGAACTGTAATGCCAAAGCAGTGGACGAGCGCTAGGTGTTGTTACATATCAATAACCCTCCCACGCCTTCCCCACCCCCCTTTTCCAGGCGGGAGCTGTTCACCTCTGGGAGAGGCGCTCGGGGTGAAGCCACCAAGATTCTCATGGTGATCACAGATGGACAGAAATACAATGACCCACTTTCTTATTCGGACGTCATACCTGAGGCTGAGAGAGCTGGGATCATCCGCTACGCCATCGGGGTGAGCCGCGGCTGTGCGGAGAACTAGTATGGATCTGAGCCCGTGTCCAAGGACAGGGGATGGGGAGGGGGTTCCCATCACATAAGGGAGAAGAACTGACCCCCTGGGTTGTAACTGGGCCAACGTGTGACATTATAGGAGAGCTGGAGCTTCTCTGTGGTTCAGGTTGAGCAGCACTGTCTAGTTAAAGGTTGGGTTTTCTGACTGCCCTACGGTCCATGTGCTGACACAGATTGTCATAAAATTTGGTTTGCCTCATGAGGATGCAGGTTAAGATCAGTGGTCTAAATTCTGGGTCATTTGAACAAGGGGTTTCTGAGATAACCCCCCAACCCAGTTAAACAGCAAAGTCACCCAGTTCTTATAAAGCCCTTTTTGCACACTCCTGGGGCTCAAACAACGGCTCTGATCCTCCCCAAACTGATCTCAGTCACTTGACATTTATCTCCATTAAACTGCTGAGCGAAAGAGACTGAAATGGGAATCAGCAGCAAGACAAAGGGCAAGTTTACACAACACACTTAAGTCGAATTAAGTTACGTCGTCACACATCCACCGCGGGAATTAAATCGTTTTTTCATGTCCGCATTACTCTCCTGTCGGCGGCGCGCGTCCTCACCAGGGGACCTTATACTGATTTAACTGTCAGTGCAGGCCATTGTGGGGCACTGACCGCTGAAGCCCGATTGGCCCGGGGCCAACAGCCAGAGTCCCAGGCTATATTAGCCACACAGTGACTATATAGACACTGCATCAACCTAAGTACATTGACCTAAAAGCAACGCCTCTTGTGGAAGTGGAGTTATGAAGTCGGTGCAGTGGGCGAGTTACATGGGTGGGAGCTACATTTCAGTGTAGCCGCTTACCGAGGTAGGTCGACGTAAGCTGCCTTTCATCAACAAACTCGGGTTTAGAGTCACAGATTCCCAGGCCAGAAGGGACTTTTGCGATGATCTAGTCTGAGCTCCTGTGTAGCATGGGCCAGAGAACTGATCCCAATAATCCCTGCTGGAACCAGTGACCAGGGCCGGCGGTTGCCTAGGGCGGCAGGATTTGAGGGGTGGCATTTTGCCACTCTCGGCAGAAATTCGGCGACGGAGGGTCTTTCCGCTCCGGGTCTTCGCCGGAAATTTGAAGGTGGGTCTTTCACTCGCTCCGGGACCCGCCACCGAAGTGCCCCGAAGACGCGGAGCAGAAGGACCCCCACCACCAAATGCTCAGAGGAGGAGGGCTGCCGCCTAGGTCGGCAAAAACCCTGACACCGCTCCTGCCAGTGACTGGGAGGTGCCTGACTCCACTGCTGAACTGACTGCACACAACCCACCCGGCCTAGCGCAGTGGTCCCACCCCTTCACCCCTTGCCTGGAGACGTCCCCCAGAGACATTGCCCGCACTCACCCCTCACTACGCCCTGGAGATTGAATCACAAAGGTCCCCAGAGCGCTGACAGTCCCCATGGCAAGATGCTCTCTGTGCCCCGCCGCTGATGCAACTGACACAACTCGGAGCTGAAATGAGGCAGGTTCCAAAACTTCAGGCTTGTGGGTCTGTATCCTCAAAACAGAGTGACACTTGTGCCAAGATGTTTCAGCACCCCACCTCCCCACTCACTGGAGCAGCCCAGGGTGCTGGCCGAGCCGTGCCTATCGAGGGCCCAGCAGGGCTCAGGATGGGTGGCTACGTGCCATGGGCTCTTGGCTGTGATTGATGCTGATGCCCTTGTCTCCATTGTACCTCCCTCTGCTCTGTGAAGGTCGGCAATGCCTTCTCCAGTGATACTGCCCAACAGGAGCTCCAGGAGATCGCCTCTAAGCCCACCAGGAAGCATATCTTTGGGGTGGACAATTTCGACACCCTCGAGTGCATCGAGACCCAGTTGCAGGACAAGATCATCATCTTAGAAGGTAACAGAGCTGGGGCGGGGGCCGCAGTGGCCCTGGTGCTCTAGAAATGGGTTTTCAAGGTCGAGATGGCCGGCATATTGGGCTGCATTAGTAGGAGCATTGGCAGCAGACCAAGGGAAGTGATCATTCCCCTCTATTCGGCACTGGTGAGGCCACATCTGGAGTATTGCATCCAGTTTTGGGGGCCCCCACTACAGAAAGGATGTGGGTAAATTGGAGAGAGTCCAGCAAAGATCAACAAAAATGATTAGGGGGTTGGGACACGTGATTTATGAGGAGAGGCTTAGGGAACTGGGTTTATTTACTCTGCAGAAGAGACTAGTGAGGGGAGATTTTATAGAAGCCTTCAACTACCTGAAGGGGAGGGTCCAAAGAGGATGGAGCTCGGCTGTTCTCAGTGGTGGCAGATGACAGAAGAAGGACTAATGGTCTCAAGTTGCGGTGGGGGAGGTCTAGGTTGGATATTAGAAAACACTATTTCACTAGGAGGGTGGTGAAGCACTGGAATGGGTTACCTAGGGAGATGGTGGAATCTCCATCCTTAGAGGTTTGAAGGTCCAACTTGACAAAGCCCTGGCTGGGATGATTTAATTGGGGTTGGTCCTGCTTTGAGCAGGGGGTTGGACTTGATGACCTCCTGAGGACTCTTCCAACCCTGATATTCTATGATTCTGCGGGACGGGGAGCTGCTGGGAATCCAGAGCTGGGAGTGGTGGGAGCCTATGACTGGTCCAGTGGGATATACCTGTACAGGAGCAGTGGGAAGCTGAGTTTCAACAACATACCCACAACCTCTGGGGACATGAATGATGCTTCCCTTGGTAAAAAAAAAAAAAAAAAGATTTCCCCTTACCTATTTAAA